TTTGAAAAGTGCTTTTTGATATTTATGACACAGATATTATCAACAATGAGTAATAGTTGTTTACCACTTTCTTGTTGGTAATAAAATTATAAAGAGTATTACACTTTCAGTCAAATGTTTGCAACGCAGAGAAGAAGACTTCACCGTCTATATAAAGTATATATATTCTTGATCAGCATCACCAGAAGAGTCAATCTAGCCAGTTGCATCTGTCCGTTTCTTTCTACCGAACTAGTCTCTTAGTTTTAAAGCTACTTGGATGACATTTTTCAAATCGATGGCATAGAAATCAAAATTAGTCGTTTTTTATTATAATAACTGCAAGAGTATATAAACTTCGGCTTGACGAAGTTTGCTTCCTTTCATGTTTGGTTAAGGGGGGGTGGGGTGTGGTTATTAATTATTTTATAAGCGTATCAAAGTACAACATTTAAACAATGTTTTCACAAATTTTCATCGAAAAAATAAATAAATGAGCCGTTCGCAGCCAAGCTACGTAGGCGCCTCCTGCGGTGAACAGCATAACTCGTTTCTGGATCATCAGAAAAAATTGTTCATTAGTTAAGATGTTTCTAAAGGTTGCGTTTTTTTTTTTTAATTTTTGTATTTTGAAAAGCTATTATCGGACGGAGCCGAAGTTGATATACCCTTGCAGAATATTCTGTAAATTATATTCTCCAAAACTATTCATATATTGCATTTTTAATAGTCTTAAAAAATCCCAACTTCCTAACTTTAAAAACACCAAAGTTATGGCATTTCCAATCGTTCAGTTATATGGCAGCTGTAGGATATAGTCAGCCTATCCTTATGAAATTTGGTAGGTCGAATTGATTGGCCAAAAATAAAACCCATAGAAATCCCAACTTCCTAACTTTACAAACACCAAAGTTATGGCATTTCCGATCAATCAGTTGTATGGCAGCTATAGGATATAGTCGGCCGATCCCGGCCGTTCCGACTTATATACTGCGTGCAAAGAAAAGAAGGGTGTGTGCAAAGTTTCAATTCGATATCTTTAAAACTGAGAGACTAGTTTGCGTAGAAACAGACAGACGGACAGACGGACATGGCTATATCAACTCAGGAGGTGATCCTGATCAAGAATATATATACTTTATAGGGTCGAAGATGTCTCCTTCACTGCGTTGCACACTTTTGACCAAAATTATAATACCCTCTGCAAGGGTATAAAAAGGCAAAAAAATGTAAATACCATACCCCCCTCAAAATCTTTTTGTCGTCGTCAATATGTGGACTTGACATTGGGCTCAAGTCGACCCATTCTTGGGTTCAAAAGAATTATCCTTCTACTGTTTGTATTTTTTTGAAATCGATCCTGATCAAAATAATATAACAGTTTGTAAATATATTTATTTGATCTCTTGTTTTAATAAAAAAAGTGTCTAAAAATCTATAGAAATTTCTTAAGCTAATTTTCTAAAACGTAATTTAATTATTTTAAATTAATTTTATTGCTAATAATAATGGAAAATAGAAACTCCTTTTTCTACAAAAATAGTTTTGGCCGTCTCAGATTTAGCGGAGATACGCGCGTTGACGATTGTAGCGAGTAAATCCACCATTTTATTTGATTTTTAGAGGTGGAAAATATCGAGATCTCCGATGTTAACATCGATGATTTCCCATTGGAAATTGAGAATTAAATAGAGATGGAGAAACATCGAAGTTTTAGATGTTTTTGGCGGGTAACATAATTGTCTTTTGTTCTTACAACATTGAGTTGTACTTAAGATTAAATAAAGTAAAATAAATGTGTGGTTATTGAGTTCATGCTTAGGTAAATCTGTAATGCTTGTAGAGTTAATATATATATATATTATATATTTTTCGGCAGAGCAGCAAACTTTTTTTTACAGTGCTAGAACTGGAGTGAAATAGTTAACAGTGCGCAAGAATAGAGCTGGGAAAATATCGAAGGTCAGCATATTCGATATTTTCGATTGTTTCGTTAAAGTCGAAATGAAAAAAGTTGATTGGTTTTGTATTTCTATTTGGAATATTAAAACACGGCATATAACGACAAAAATCAAGTATTGTAATCAATAATGTTTGGTATTCAGCTTTCCTATGGCTATATCACAGAAATGAAAAATAAACGTAGCTACATCATAGCACTAACCATACAACATATAGACTGGTCATTTCATACAACGAATTTGGTCACAAAATTTTTCACTCGGGGAGCCCCAGTGCTGGAATCGGCAGGCCCCGACACTTCGTGTGCCTTCGGGTTTTTTCGCTCTCGTTCTAATTCTTATTTTGATGTATGCGTGTTCATGCATTCTCATACAGGGGTGCATGTGTGCGATCATTTCATTTCGATGCAGCAAGAATATTTTGTCTTTTGCTACTTTTCAGACTTGGTACCCTAACAATATGGGCGTATTCACTATTGGGTTAATGATAAAAATGAGAATATTATATGTTATAGTATATTTTTAATATTTCAGCATATATTTCATCTTGGTTTACAAATTCAAATCAGTGGTAGCAAAAAAATATTTTGCATATATGTATGTATTCCAATTAATAGAAATCAATCTACTGAGATAGGAACAGGGAACATCGCAGTCGGTGTCTGCGCTTAGTGGTTCAGAAAACTTCAAACCAAATCAGCTTTGGTTGTTGTTCTACGAGCGTATGGTGCCTGCATAGCCTACCGACGATTGAATTTTAGGGGTGGGTACAGAAACAAGAACGTTTTTTAGGACACTTGTTTTGAATGTTATGTTTAATGATAATTAATTTTATAATTTTTTTTTTATATTAAAAATCATTAAAAGTTTACTTCTTGATTTAAAATAGTAATATAAATTTAAGAAAATCACTTCAAATTTTTTTTGTCTTTACTTTTTAGTGGATAAACAATTTGTTATTTTCCAAGATTAAAACTATAAAATTATTATATGTACATATGTATATTTATCGGTAACTAATTCAAGCGGCGACTTTCAAGAATAAGCAAACATAAAAATATATATAACTAGATCATTAAATAAAAACATTAAACAAAATTACACTGCGAATCAAAAAAAAAATCAACCAAAACTCATTAAACATATCATTCAAAACAAGTGTCCTAAAAAACGTTCTTGTTTCTGTACCCACCCCTAAAATTCAATCGTCGGTAGGCTATGCAGGCACCATACGCTCGTAGAACAACAACCAAAGCTGATTTGGTTTGAAGTTTTCTGAACCACTAAGCGCAGACACCGACTGCGATGTGCCCTGTTCCTATCTCAGTAGATTGATTTCTATTAATTGGAATACATACATATATGCAAAATATTTTTTTGCTACCACTGATTTGAATTTGTAAACCAAGATGAAATATATGCTGAAATATTAAAAATATACTATAACATATAATATTCTCATTTTTATCATTAACCCAATAGTGAATACGCCCATATTGTTAGGGTACCAAGTCTGAAAAGTAGCAAAAGACAAAATATTCTTGCTGCATCGAAATGAAATGATCGCACACATGCACCCCTGTATGAGAATGCATGAACACGCATACATACAAAGCCCAATTCAAGCGCAGGCCAACCTTCTTCAAAATTCGCGTCTCTGCGACTGAACGACCGAATTCGAGCGCGAGCGTCAAAATAAGAATTAGAACGAGAGCGAAAAAACCCGAAGGCACACGAAGTGTCGGGGCCTGCCGATTCCAGCACTGGGGCTCCCCGAGTGAAAAATTTTGTGACCAAATTCGTTGTATGAAATGACCAGTCTATATGTTGTATGGTTAGTGATCATAGTTAACCACTTTTGAAAAGTTGTTGAGAAGTTTCTGTTGAAACAGGAAAGATGTAAAGGACAAATACTCGGAAATGTAAATTTAAGAATGTAACATAACAACAATCTTTGCTTTTAGACAGTGTTGCCAGATGAAAATTTTGCTTTCTCCCTAAAAAATCTCAAACAGGCGATATTTCCCCCTAAAAAATCCAGTTTTCCCCCTAAATTAAAAAAATCAGTTAATTTCGAACTTATACAATAAAACAAGAAAACGATATCGAATTTTAAGAGATCACCTCGAGAACTTCATTTGAGAAATTGGTCTTGTACACTTCCTCGCTATTGAATAGCTTATACATTTGAGGGGATGGTTCAAAGCTATTGCAATTGTTTGGTAAGGTTAATCTTATTCGAAGAAGGATGCTGCTTTCGGTGCAAAAACACATATTTTTTCAAGGCATTTTGTGTTCTTAGGAAATCGTGCTTGCAATTCGTCCGTGAGTTTAATCAAGCAGTCCCTGCATCGTTTTTTTATTATGTATATCAAGTGGTTCCCAGAAACCGCCAGCATCAGCTGGTAACACTTGTACTCGTGACCATTATTTTTTGATATTTTTGCCATATTTAGGTTGTTTTTATGCGTGGCAATATTTTACGAAATCACATATTCTTGTGTTTTTTTCAAAACATTTGGGTAATACAATTTCCAAAAAAAAACCCCAAAACTTTCCCCCTAAAAATTGCTCCCCCCTAAAATTCCCCCTAGTACGTCAAAAAACCCCTAAATCTAGGGGGAAAACCCCTGATCTGGGAACACTGCTTTTAGAGATGCTCTCCGGCAAGCATTTGGCCGCTTTGCAATTTTTGGACCTTTGAAAGTGACTCCACATTTTTGACTTGCCAATGCGTTGATTTTTTTCCGGGGCTGTGACTTCTACATCTATGCTTAAATCTGTGCCTGAACGAAATTTGAATGAGTATTTACACATAATCATGCTGTACTTAAGAGACTTTCATCTTCATTTTAATCCGCCAACACCAATAATTTTACAAATAAGAACTCTTTTTTTCTAATTTCAAAAAGTATTAATAACGTTTACCACTATCGATTACTATCGAAACGAAAACCTCGATAGTGTTACAAAACCCAAATATTCGACACTCGATAGGGATGGTAAAACATCGATGACACCTGATGAACATCGGGCTTAGCGATATTCCAAAAACATCGATGTGCGCAACAATGTATTTCCACCCCTGGCACAAAAACAAGCAACCGATGCCAAAATAAAAGCATAACAATTTAAGAACCGAAAATCGCCAGAAAATGAGCGCGTACTACCGGCGAGCGGCGCTGCGCAAGAAAAGCCCCAGTCGGGTATCCTCCGAGGCGGAGATGAACGAGTCCGGATACACATCCTTTCGGGCGCCGCACAATTCCACTGCGGAGACGCCATTTTTGTTGGAAGACACTGAAAGCGAGAACTGTCGCAATGCGTCGAACACCTCAATGTTGATTCGGGGGCTCTCCACGCCCAGTGGCCATCACGAGCCGGACCTGCACTGGGGCAAGCCATATCCGAGGTCCCAGCCGCAGAGCCAGGGATCCGTGAAGGAGGATCCCTTTTCCCTGACGCCTCGCCTGGAGGAGGCGTACAGCCTGCCAAAGCGCCGCAAGAAGCACTTTCAGCCACCGCACAGTAGCCCCAAGAAGTCCAAGAAGCTGCTCTTTCCGCAGCTGGATCAACCGCCGGCCAAGAACCGCTTCTACGGCGGCGTGGAGCAGCTGGACATCGTGGCCAAGCTGGCACAGAAGCAACCGGCCCTGGAGTGCATACTGCGCCACGTTGACGCTCACACGCTGGACGTGATGACCCAAGTATCGCTGGCCTGGAAGCAGGCCGTCTGCCGGAGCCAGCGTGACTTGGAGCGCCTCCAAAACCACCGGCTCAAGCTGAGCCTAACCAAAGAGAATCCCTACGTGCCTAAGCGGCGCAGCCATGTGCCCAAGGCAAACCAAACAGTGCCATTGCAGACTTCTAACCACAGCAACCAAGATAACAGTCCCGCCTCGCTAATGGACTCTGGGAACTCGAGCGTCCACCTGATGGAGGTGGATGCCGGAAGGGTTCTGCGCGAGCAAACGCAGCGCGTCAAGTGCCCACGATGCGGCCGTGGCAGTCGCGTCTTCATCAGCGAGATGGCCAAGAGTGGCGACATTCCTCTGTCCCAAACGCTTCCTATTGGACGCCACAACAGCACATTCCTCAGCGCCACTGGGCCGCCCTTAAAGCGCTTCTTGTCCCTGGACCTCGACGATATCAGAACCCCACCGCAAGCAGCCGCATACAACTTTGCCGAATGCACCAGTGTCATCTGCCAGTTCCGGTTCTGCATCAACTGCCTGTGCAAGTCGCATCCCGGCGAGCGGTGCCTGGTCACCGAACTGGACACGCCCTCCAAACTGATGATGCCCCGGGAGCGACTCACGCCGCCACAACGTGCCCAGAACCGCGATCCCAAGATCAGAAGGAAGAACTCGCTCAAGCGGCTTTGCTTTTAGTTTTAGCATAGACCTTTATGTATTAGTAGTATTCGATTTGTTCAAATCTCATTAATTCCGTATTATGTTCACTGCATTAAGTTCCATTTTGTCATCATCATACATTCTCATATTTGTTTTTAAATCGTACACTGTAAGGTTTTTTGGAAATCTATACCTCTGCGAGATTAAGTATTTTTAAACATATGCGAAATATTCACATTTTTACAATTAGAGCTTTAAAAATTCAAGAATTGTACTGTTTTTCTATCTTTCTTTGGGGTGAATGGTGCTATCCGTTTATAAATTTAAATTTAACTATTTTAAAACTTAAAGATCAGGTGATTAACGAAAAGTTTCATTCAAAAACGCTTTGAATATATTAGGCTATTGTTTTGTTTTTTTTTTTTATTTTCTTACAAAACACTAGAAATTAAAATGTTTTGTAGCCATGACCGTCTTGTTCTATACCTTTTTGCTTAGTGTAAAGGATATACTTTTTTTCTCCTCTTTATATGCGTACAATTAAGTTTAAAAACGCTGCTGTCGAACGTCTATATCGTATAGCAGCCATAGGGACGATCGGGAAAAGTTTGTTCAATTTGTTCAAAATCAAAATCTACATAGTGTAGAAACGAAACTGCTGTAAAGTAAATATCCTATTTTACGGGGTTCTTGACTTTTGCAGTTTTTACTAATTCCCCATATGAGTTATGCATATGTTAAAGGTATTTTTAGTATATTTATAAAAGACACTTGGTCACACTGATACAAACACGTGTGGAGTGCGGTCGCCGCACATTATTATTAATCTTCGCTTAAATATTGAATTTAATTAAAACAAAGAAAAGAAGCACAATACCAGGATGAGCACAGCGTTGGCCCAACAGCTGCAGAAATTGGCGGCTCCGCAGTCGTCCATAACGATAGCGGATGCCCGAAGTCGCGCATCCGTGCTCTTCGATCCCAAGGAGGCGGCCACCAAGGACCGGCGCACCATCTATGAGATCGGGCTAGCGGGATTGCAGGAGCTGACCGAATTCAACCCGGACTTCAAGGAGTTCCAGCTGACGCTGTTCGACGAGGCCACACTGACGCTGGAGCGATCCGTGGAGCTGCCGGAGGTCAACAAGCTGCTCGACACGGCGATTGGCAAGTTCCTGCGCCTGTTGTCTCCGTATCTCCTGCTGCGTCCTGCCCACATGGCCTTCGAGTGGCTGCTGCGCCGGTTCCAGGTGCACGAGTACAACCGCAGCGAGGTGATGGCTCTGATCCTGCCCTACCACGAGACCATGATCTTTGTCCAGATCCTACAGACCATGAGGCTACGGTCGGCAGACGCGGACTGGTTCTGGCTGAGGCCACTCCAGCGTCCTGGCGTCTCTCTAGCTAAGACGGCCATCATCAATAGGGCCGCCAGCAACCCCGCCTTTCTGGGCTTTATATGCCAAAACACTCAAAAGGCGGTCAAGGAACTGGGACCGCGAGCTCACCAACTGCAGGCCCAGATCAACTTCTACGCCACCGTCGTTGTGGGCGCCCTGCAAACGGCAAAACCCCTGCAAGATTGGCACATCACCACCATCCTGGAGTCGCTGCTCCGGGGTCTGGTATCGGATACCATCGATTTCATGGCCGCCGCCTATGTGATCGTCGCCCAGCTGGTTTCCCGCACTAAGCTGAAGAGCAAGGTGTGCAACGCCTTACTGGAACGCGTGGCCAACTGTCCGTTCGAGAGGCTTCACAGCGAGTCCCTGCTGTTGCTCGTCTGCATCTATGGCAAGCAGCAGGCCGCTCTGCCGCAATTCAAGCCCGATACAGTCCTTAATCTAGTCGGAAAAAAATGGCTTACCTCGGAGCTGGCTTCCCTGGCCAAGGGCAACATCGCCATCCAGTCCATCTGCATGCCGCTCATGACGGGCGCCGTGGTCGCCATTCGGGAGGAGGACGCAGCCTCCAACTCCTGCAAACTTTTCTTGGACAACCTGATCTCGGATGTGCCACTGGCAACGCCGACTGCCCAGCAAATGATCAAGTGAGTATTTACCTTCAAGTGAACACAAATCTTAGGAAAAATTAACTTAGCTTATCGATTATTAATTACTTAAATACTTTTCGTTTTTATTTACTTTGCTTACAAGTGAAATAAAAGTTATGCTGGTCAGAAATACATACATACTTTGAAGTGTTCTTTACTGCGTTACAAAAAAAAGAAAAAATCCGAAAGTGATTTTTAATATTTAAAAATGCTTAAAGAATAATTTATTTATTAAATAGATTTTAGTTTCTTTTTGGCTAAAATGCTCACAAATAATGATTATTCATGTGTGCATTATACAACTTTGATTGATTAAGTAGATCAACAACTAAAATAATTGATTGGTTTAATGTTAATGTTGAGAATTCTTTAACGATTTTACTAATTTTAATATTTTACACCTTTTAGTTGCTTTCTAGATACTTTTGTGGAGACGGCGAGCGCACCTGAGCCAATGGATACTACCGCAGACTACGATGACGATACCATCGTAATTGATTCGGACGATGAGACAGAGATTGAAAAGACCAGTTTTCAAACCTGGTATTCAGCTTATCTCGAAAAGCTGGAGAGACGTTATCCTGAAGCCTTTGACCTAAGCGTTAAAGAGGCCTTGAGGGCCAAATCCTCCACAAGCAATCGCCAAAAGGCCTTAAAATTGGCTCTAGGTAATTAAATCAGATAATTAAAATTTCCTCAAGGGTTATTTTTTCATTTATACTTCTATTAGGCTTCCGTCTTAATACCACTGATGAAAGGGCGAAGCACGCCTATGAAAGGCTCTACCACTACAGCTCTGACTGGCGTCTGGGTGCTGTCCAACAGCTGCTCCAAAACCTTAAGGTGACAAAGAAGAGAGAGCGCAGCGTAAAGCTCCTGCAGGAGTGTCTGCCCGATAGGATCAATGATGACAGTGGTGCTGTGGTGGCGGCCGTGCTCTCACTGCCCACCGAGGAGCTGGCCGAGATGTTGGGCCCTCTTCCACTGGCCAAAACCCTATGCCGTCTGCTAAATCGCGCTCAATCCAAAAAGGAGCTCGAGTGGATGCCTGTGGTTCCGCTGGCCGTTCGTCACTTAACTTCAGCCCCAGTAAACGGCCACTATGACAAAAATCTGGTGCTCTTGGCGCTGATGCCGCTGCTCTTCCCCTGCGAAGCCCTGGCGAAGCACGAGCATGAGGCACTGTTGATTCTTCTCAGTAGTGATTTTGCTAATAAGGTTCCGTTCTTGGCAGAACTTAAAGTGAGCGATGATTTTAACAACTTTAAGGCCAACGAGCATCGTCAACACTTCCTGGACGTAATAGCGAGCAGCAGTGAGGAGCTGATTAGTCAGGAGAGGGCGCTGCTGCAAAGCGTCCAGGATCATGGAGGTGAAGCCTATATACAGGAAGCCTCCCAATTAACACATCTATTATTGCTGTTGACGGCCTACGCCAAAAGAGAATTGCAACCTCATGAGAGCCTGCACATGCTGGAAAGAATCGTACTATACAGTCGGGGCATCCAGTTCCGTTTGGTTAGGGGCAAACCCAATACCACAACTTCTGTCCCTCTCCAACTGTATGTAGATTTCCTTCTTACTTTGGTTAAAAATACCAAATGGACATCTCTGGCTGCGACGCCTTGGAATCAATTAACGGATGAACTTCGTCTCTGTCTGCGTCTGCTGGAGATAATATGCGCTCAATTCTTCACGGATCGGACTGATCTGCCAGAGCGTCAAGAGTGGACTCGAGCTCTGCAGCAAAGTCTTCAACTAATTCTACCCGAGGCCCAGGACAGACTGGATCTGCTGACCAACTTCTACGTCTTCGAGCGGATGCCGGAATTGTGGCCACGGGACTCGGATTATGCTGTGTTCCGCTTGCAAGGCTTCCTGTTGCTAGAGGCGGTACTATCCAACCCAAAATCGCAACTGAACTGCAGCCTGGTTCACGTGCTGCGCGTGGCCAACGCCTGTACATCGCCACTACAAACACTGCGAGTGCAGGCAATTAACACACTGCAGTTGATCAGCAGTCGCAAATTGGTGTCCCATGTTGAGCAATTGGTGCGATCGCTCCTGCAACGCAAGAGCGAGTTGAGCATGGATCACGAACAGTACGCCCTGATACTATACACCATTCTCGAACCAGAGCACGCCACGGCCAAGGAGAAAATGGTACTCTCCAAGTTAAGAAGGTCGGTCTTAGCTTTGGCCTGCGATCCCAAGCAACCGCCCATTTGTACCGCAGCTCTGCTGTCCGCCCTGAAACACGTCAACGATGAGCACTTCCTTGCGGAATTATTACCCCTTGGTCTTGACTCCCTGACAAAAATCACTGCGGGCGAAGGCAACCAGCATTTGAAACAGCTTCCATGGCCACATAGCGCAATCTACAAGTCGGTGATGGAAAAATTCGAGGGACGTGTAGGACTTAATGTGTTGCTACGAAAGGATCTGGCATGGAAGCTGTTCGAGGAGAGTTTCGCCAACCACGACATCTACGTTCAACTGGAACAGAAGCTCCAGCCATTGCCCTGCATCCTGCTGAATAGTCTCACCCCAGAAACCTACGATCAAATGCAGGCCAAGCACAAGGTGGCACTGATCAAGCTGATTGTTGAGGCGGCCACTAATTCGGACAACGATAGCATTTTCCTGGCCAGCCATCGATTGTTGAAGCGCTGCCGTTTGGAGTGCCAGCCACTTGTGTCGATGCTGGCGGAGATGGTCAGCACCGAGGTGCAGCAGCAGAGACCGCCGACTGCCTCCAAGCGACGTTCAGTAGCGGCCCCCCGACTGGATCTAACAACCCCATCCTGGAAGCATGGAATGACTCTTCTCGAGCTGGTGGAACACAAGAAGCAGCTTGTAGGAGCGGAGCTGCTGATTCCACAGCTTTTCGATCTTCTGGAGGTCTGCCTAAAGGAGGAGCACAGTGGCGTCGAGTATCCCAAGCAGCTGATCCTCGCGAACTTGCTTCACTGCTGCCAAACGGCCCAGGCTGCCGGCGTGCAGATAGTCAAGGCTCTTCCCCAATCTTTCTTTCGCGTCGAACTGGTGGTGCAGTGCCTGAGAAACACGCGCAATCCGCAGACCCAGCAGCACGCCTTGCTCCTCCTAACCCACTGTGCCGCCCTGTATCCGCAACAGGTTTTGCTTAAGATTGTGGAGATCTTCACGTTTGTGGGTTCCTCGGTGGCGCGACACGACGATGCCTTCAGTCTGCACATTATTCACAATGTTGTGGAGTCGATTATACCCATTCTGTTGCTAAAGACTGGACATAGAGAGCTGGTTATCCCTGTGCTCAAGGTGTTTGCTGATATTTGCACGGACGTGCCGGTGCATCGGAGATTGCCTCTTTACGCTACCCTGTTCCGCGTACTAGAGCCCAAAGAGCATCTTTGGCAATTCCTGTGCATTGTATTCGAGTCGCAAATGCTTCGGGAGGAGGCCCCTAAAAAAGTATCCTCAGACAAGTCGCGGCTCGACTTTGCTCGCGAACTAACGCTGATGTTCGAGGATTCGACGGTGGCCTTGCAAACGAGCATACGTCTGTTGGAATTCTTGGCCACGCTGCCGACGAGTCAGATCGACCAATTGGGGAGCACCACGGAAAACCAGCTATTTAATGTGCGGGCCCGAACGTTCAAGCAACTCCGCCACTACAAGTACCTGATTATGGACTTCCTGTCGGGAATCAGTAGCTGCAACGAATGGCAGGCAAAAATGAAGCGATCCGATCCCACTGAACTGCTGCCGTATTATCAGGACTTTATCCTAAAGGCGCTCGCGTACGTGGGCGTAGTCAATGGAGCGTTGGAAGCAGCCACCGAAACACCATCTGTAGAGAAGTTCTGGGGGGTGCTGGCTATCCACGTCCACGATGTTTTAGACAATGCCATTGGCCTGTTGGCGCCAGAAGATTTCCTCAGCGTGATCACCGAGCTGCTGCAGCACGATCATGTGTATGTGCGCATCAAGGTGCTAGAACTGTTGGTAACCAAGTTAAGCTCCACGAGCGATTACTTCCAGCATACTGCCGCCGAACACTTTGGAGTGCTTTTTGCGCCGTTTCAGGAGATTATTGACGGGATCCTGGAGAGCGGTCCCAGCAGTGGACAGCAGGCGAAGCTACAACAGACCGCTTTGCACGCCCTGCAGCTCTTGGCCCTACGCCACGGTCGCGAATATGTCGACGAGTGCCGCTCCTTGCTGGCTGCTCTTACCAAGATCACAAAGCGGCGAGCTAACGTGCCCAAGGCAGTGGTGGGCAATGTTGTGTTGACTCTCGTCGAGATCTGCGCCAGTCTCAAGGCCCACGCCCTAGCGCAATTGCCCAAATTCGCGCCCCAGCTTACGGAACTACTGAAGGAACAGGTTTACCAGATGGCCACGCTCAAGCAGGGACCGGACTACGTCTGCTCCACTCTGATAACTGGTAAGTCAGCCAACCCTCAGAGATTTTCTTTTACTGTTGGTTAGAAGGTTAATCTTAACTTATTCTTCTCTTTTAGCTTGGCACACGCTTTTCAAGGCATTGCCACTTTTCCTAGGACCCTATTTGGTGGACATCATCGCAGGCCTAGCGCGCCTCTCGGTGCAACTGGATAATCCGTTGCTGTTGCAGGATAAGCGCGCCCAGGATCTTAAGCAACGTCTTGTAGACGTTTGGGCTGCGGTGGCCCAGGGCGTGCACGTACGCATCCTTGTGCCCAGTTGTGCAAAGGCCTTTTCATGCCTTCTAGAGCAGCAAGCTTACGACGAGTTGGGACAACTGATGCAGCAGCTCCTGTTGCAGAGCATCCAACACAATACCGGTGCTGAATTGCAATCGGTGCAAGACTCTCTCAGCGAGCTGTTTCTCCAAGCGCTGGACTTCCGTCTGCAGGTGCGTGAACGCGGCTTGGAAAGGCAACTGGTTTCAGATGTTGAGACGGCTATTGCCGAGACCTTCGTGACCTGGATTCTAAAGCTGTCCGAGACAAGCTTTAGACCCATGTATGCTCGGGTGCACAAGTGGGCGTTGGAGAACAGCTCCAGGGAAACAAGGCTTACCTACTTCCTACTGACCAACCGGATCGCCGCGGCTCTTAAGTCGCTCTTCGTACTGTTTGCCAGCGAATTTGTCGAAGACTCCTCACGATTGCTGGCAGAGCACAATTCTCTGCATCCGGAGTTCGAAGCCGGAGTACCGGAAGATGATGTGGAGTTGTTGACGGCTATACTGAACACTCTGCATCACGTGTTCTTGTACTGCAACGAGGACTTCATCAACGAGCACAGATTCAACGCGATGATGCCGCCGCTGGTCAATCAGTTGGAGAACGAGACTGTACTTGGAAGTGAACCACTGCAGCAGGTGCTCAGCAATAGCATCGCCCAGCTGGCGGTGGCCACCAACGATGTGATGTGGAAGCAGCTTAACAACCAAGTGCTTCTAAAGACGCGCACATCAAATCCGGACGTGCGGATACTGGCCTTCAACAGCTGCGTAGCCATTGCTCGTAAACTAGGCGAAAGTTACGCACCCCTTTTGCCGGAGACTGTTCCCTTCATCGCCGAACTTCTGGAGGACGAACACCAGCGCGTGGAGAAAAACACACGCAGTGCGGTGCAGGAGCTGGAGACCATTCTGGGCGAGCCGGTTCAAAAGTATCTTTAAATATGCAAAAGCGATCTTTTGTGTAACTAAAATGTTCATAAAATATTCAAATAAATTTGATTTATTCAAATTCAAAAAATTTTACTACCAAATTGTAACTTGTTTTTACTTTTTACCAAATTGTTAGGCTTCTCAACCAATCAGCCTCTACAGATTTTTAAAGGTATTATAAAGTTAAGAATATTTCAGAATATCAGAATATTTTAAGTTTTTTGAAATCTGCAAAGGTATAATCCAACTTTTTGTTCATGTATCTCAGGTAACATTTTTTATATACTTTACACAGGATTGTAGGGGTAGCTAACTTTTCATTCAATCATAAATTTTTTTTAGTTTACATGCCTCCCTGCTGTAATAAAAATTAGAGTTGGAACTCATCAGCTATAGAATGACATAAAACTAGCATATTTTGCAACAAGTTCTTATAAAAAGAAAATGGAATAAAAGCATTAAATTGGAAATCAGATATGGCTTGAAACTTTATGGTTTGCCGCACAAATGGGATTGTGGCGCCTTCTACCTATATTCCGAAACAGTAATTTAACCTAATGTTAAAACTGTACTTGATGCATTATTCGAATAGCATAGATAATAGGAAAACACATAGTTCTTTAACTTATTTATTTCGGAATGCAATGTCCGCTTAGACTAGTGTACAATAAGAAAACAATCATCATTACTCTTGACCCAACCAGAAGTCAGCGATGTGGACTGGACTATGTGTTGTAGGTGTAGGAAATGGTGGGGATGTGGGCGTTGTTGAGCGTGTTGTCGTGCGTCTCCTTGTCCTCGGGGATTTCGGGATCCTCGCGCTCCTCCTCCTCGTCGATGATGCTGATGTCGCGGATGGACGGCCGGTGACTGCGTCGCCAGCCGCTGAGATCCTGCGGCTGCTTGGTCTTGGTCAGCAGCTTGGTTCCCGTCACCGAGATCATGATTGCTCCGAGCGGAGCGGTCAGAACAATACTGAACACGCAGATCGTCTGCACAATGTTCGCCCAGTTCCGTTCCTCGTCCGTGGAGTTCTCGTCCAGATGCTTCAGTGCCACGGGTCCGAGGGCCGCCTGCACAGTGGCCTTGGCCATCCACGACAGTCCGACGAAGAACTTCTCCTTGGTGTTCAATCGATCCCCGAACGCAATGCCCGCCGTGGTGAAAATACGCAGGATGGCGCCCGTGAAGATGCAGGCCGCTCCAATGGACACCGTGTGTCCATCCAGCTCGCGTATCTTTATGGTGGCACCGGTCAGCCCGAACAGAATCGGCTCGAAGATCATCCAGAAGATCTCGAAGGCAGTGGACACCGGGTTGTCCTCCACATCCCAGCCGTCCTTGCACCAGAACAGGTTCGAAACGAAGGCCGAGAAAACCACGGCCAGCGGTCCTGCGCCCTCGAAGCCCAGCTCTTCACTGCCATAAATGGCCATGAGGCCGCCGGTGAAGAGTAGCAGCGTCCGCAGCGGCACCACATAGGCGTCTCCCTTCTCCGGAAAGATGCGGGCCAGCGATCCCCAGACTACGCCGAAGCCCAGGCCTCCCAAGATGCAAACCGGAGCCTGGGCGATCTGGTAGGCCAGTCCCTTGTCGGAGAACATCACTGTGCTGATGATGCCGAATATGGCCACCGACAGGGCATCGTCCACTCCGGCCACGGCCACCACCAATGTGGGAATACCCTTGGCCACGCCGTAGCCCTTGGTTCGCAGACGGAACAGGCACGGCACCACCACAGCTGGAGACACTGCGGCAATGATGGAGCCCAGCAGGAACGCCCAGATCCATGGCAGGTCGAGGAGGAAGTGCGACATCACGGCCATCACAACCGCTTCCACGCACCATGGGATTATGCCCAGCTTCAGGATCGTCTTGTACACCTTCTTGAAGGCCTCCGGCTCCATTTCGAGTCCAGCTCGAGTCAGGATTATGGTCAACGCAAATTTGCGCAGGTGGGCCGTCACTTTGGAGAAGTCGCCATCAATGTTTGCCCAGCCCACATTCTGGTAAAATACAAATTAATCAAATTTATATAAATAAATAATCTACTATGACTAGTAGATATGTAAATGTATACATATGTATAAGTTTGTGAAACTTGTAAGAACACCAAATCTTTTTAATGCAATACAAAAAACAAACCCAATTGAAAGGATTATTAGTTGGCTGAATTATCATTTTAACTAATGAAATATACAACACATAACATCAATTATTTGTAATTCTCACCTGGAAGAGAATGCCCACCAGGAGCATGCCGATTAGTCGCGGCAAGGTGGTCAGCGATATCAGGTAGCCACCAAAGTTGGCGGCCACAGTGAGAACGACCAGGCCGAACAGCTGTCCTCCAGGGGCAGCCGAGTCGCCAATGATCACAAAAGCCGTGATCCAGATCAGGACACCTGTAATTCAGGAAAGGGTATTACAATTTTAGCATAAACTATGAAGGTGTTAATATGCCCCGACACTCGTTGAGTAAAAGGGTGTATGAAATTCAGTAAAGGATATTACAATTATAGCATAAACTAGCATAAAGGGTATATTCAGTTCGTTAAAAAGTATGTGAAAGGTAGAAGAAAGAAAGGTATTCAGGATATCTAGCCAAGCTCAAGTAAATTTACTCTATTTGTAACACTGTAATTTAAAGCGGGGTATTTGACTTAATCTTCTAGAAATTTAGAATCTGAATCTAGAATTACTTACCAATCAGAATAATGGAAACTAGTCGGGAGACCGTTCTAAATGTGGGGCACAGCGGGTAGGGGAATATCTTTTGCCAGAAGGGCGGCTCCCAGGACGACGATGGCTCCTCGCCGCGGCACTTGAGGCAGAATGTGTACATCCAGGACTCCTCCACGTAGTTGGCCCCGCCACTGCTGTCGCCCCCGGAGGTGTGTCCCATTTGGTGACCATTATACTTTGAATTGAGCACGTCCAGCGCATTCTGTCTGTAGTTTTCTGTAAAACATGTGGGTTTCAATGCTTTAGTGAATGAAATAAACTATTAACTTGGGTACGCAAGCACTTGGTTCTACGTTCCCCAGAACCCAAGAAAATTATCTCGTCAGCCATCATGGATCTCTAATTAGGTGATAAGTATGGGCATATCGAAGGGGAATTCGTACGTCAAAGGCAAGACCTACGCAATAATATTGGGCATTGGTATAGCCCACTTCCCCAGGTTCGCTAATTGATAATGTCGACTGGAAAATGAAATAGACGCAGAACCAAAGCCCTTGATCAAACAGTGAGTTGAACTTGAGACATTTGCATTTTTCAACTGGTTAATTCACACCGCAATATCAACGAGCCCGTGACAAAGGGGCTGGCTTAATAGGAAACTTTCTATAACCCACAATATGTTGAAATCTCAGTGACTCAATAATGGAAAATATCAATCAATATCAAAGAACACTTCATCTTCTCTAATTTTTTAATCTCACCAGCTCAAAATTCTTACCGATTTATGTGACAATTGACCCTGCAAAGATTTGTCGTCAGTCCGTTCATCCGTCCGTTTATCCGTTCGTTCATCCGTCCGTTCATCCGTCCGTTCATCCGCCCGTTCATCCCTCCGTTCCTAGGCAAACTAGACCCTCAGTTTTAAAGCTATATGCTTAAAACTTTCCCAAAAGTTGTCTTTCTATTGCAAGTAGTATATATGTCGGAACGAGCTGGATCGGACGACTATAAGAACAATCGAAAAACAATTAAAACAAGAAAGGAAGTAAACTTCGGCAAGCAGAAGTTTATATACTCTTGCACTTATTACAAACGACTACATTTCGATTATTACTAAAAACAATGAAGCAATAATAATAATAATATTTAAATACTATTAATTACGGTTTTAATTAAATTGAAATCGGACAACACATATATCATCATCTATATCTATAGCTCCCATAGAAAATCAAAAAATTAAAATATATAAAAAATAAAAAAAAATTTGTATTTAGCTGTTTTTCTATTTATCATAATAATATAAAATAATATATAATATTTCTTTCAGATATAGTAATAATTTACTATATCAGTTAGTTTTGTCAAAATTGGACAACAATATCATATAGCTGCCAAAGAAACGATGTCAAAATGCAGCGCAAAATCGACATAGCTTCTTTATTTTTAGTAATATAGGCATAGAAATCAAATGTAGTAGATTTGTAACAACTGCAAGGGTATATAAACTTCGGCTTGCCAAAGGTTGCTTTCTTTCTTGTTTTTTTTAAGTTCCACTCAAAATAAGTTTATTTCAACTTCGAAAAAGATTATAATCCTTATTCTTATTCATTAATCGATTCCATTGAAAATTTAAAAAGTGTTTCCTACTTTATAATTAAAATATAACCGTACTGTCTTGAAAAATTAATTCTTGCACGTTTTTAAAGAATTTCATTTTTTATTGCGGCGCTTGTGATGGAGTTAAAAAAAAACGTGTTTGTTGCGGAACTACACAAGTGCACGCGTGAGAAATGAGGCGTTGCAGGTACAATTTACGCCGCAGACTAAATAATTAATACATTTCTGGCATAGCGACATATAAGTTAACTCCTGAATTGTTGTCTACTATTTGTCTACGTTCTATTGTTTTAGTTCCATGAAATTAACAGTCCAATCGCAGCATTAGAAAACAGTTTTCTGGGCTATTTCGAGATAAAAGCAATTCATTATTGTTACTCTTACCATAGCTGTGAGTAGAGGCGCGATCACTGTCGTTGTCGTGTGGCGCCGTGTCCTTCAGGATGCTCTTCCTGCGAGCTGGTCCTATATCCGTGTGAGAGTGTGTGGAAGTCTGCGATGGGATTACGGAGCAGGGTTAGTTTGGGTAAATGCCAGACTGTTATCGCTAACACAAGTGCAAAGCGTGTGCCCATATATATTTTCATTAGGAGATTATATACTCGGTACACTGAAAATCCGATTTTACGATGCCCTCATCAACCGATATGATCGCAATTGACAGCGACTAATGAATCGCTACCTTCCACTCACCTGTGAAATTTTACGCCTCGGGTTTTGCTCGTAGGCGGGATTGTCGTATCCAGCACCGAGACCTCCTGACCCGCCGATCGCCGGCGGATCGGAAATAATGCTGACCCGCCGCTTCGGCTGGCTCTCGATGACGATGGTGCTCTTGTGGTTGCCGGCGCCATTCCCACTCCCATTCGAGTTGGGCATGGGCACGTCGCTGGGCACTGGGATCGGGGTGGGAGCGATCAAGGTCGTCGGGGTGGTGATGGTCGCTGGAGCGCCGACAACGGAGGAATCCTCGCGAGCTCCTGGCTCACCATTGGCCGTCATCGTCTTATGGCTCTGCCGAAACGTAGTTTATGATCAGTTATCTTCGGTCGATGGATGGTTTTATGGGCGTATTAATGGCAGTAAGGCTTACACTAAACATCGGACAGCGAGGCGAATCGAAAGTATAAAAATATTAATAAGCGATACGCCAGTTTTTACAACTATCTCGTTCGACGGTTAGCGATGAAATAAATTCATTACCACGCGGTGGCTTTTCGTCAGCTGCAGGTGCACATACACACACACTCATACACAGAGCCACCTGCTGAGGTACACTGGGCGAAATGGCGAGGCGTTAATTAAAAAGTCAAACAGTTATTTATCAAGTCAATCGCTGTATATACATTTATATAGTGACATAAAAGGTGGTTGTGGCAGTTAATCATTTGTTGTCGACAACCAAAATTATATTTAGTATCAAATATTCGTATACTTTGGTTTGATCATAAACAAAATATGCTTTAAATATGATGTGTATTTTTAAACTATTCTTAAATTAACCTTTCGTTATAAGCATATACTAAACAAAAACGTATTGATTCTAAAGTAATGTTAACTATTCAATTCATATAGGTGCAGTACTACGTCAGAAAAAGCTTTAATCTATTTTTTGTTGACTTCTTGTTTATTCTTCTTGTACATTTTTGATTTCATTTAGTTCTTAATTTTATTTATATTTTTCCCAGTGCCTATGAGAATTTGTGAAAACGTAAAAGGCGGCGTAAATATTAAATAAATATTGTAAAAACTTCTAAAAACCACAATTAAAATTAACAGCTATTAGCTTTAATTATATCACCGAACCGAACGAGACACATGATATGCGCTCTGTGATATGGATATGTACACATGACTCTTAATATGAATATGTAAAAACCTGGTCGGTTCTCGCTTTGATGACCAAGAAGTTTTTTAGCCATTTGTTTGGCGTTCAATTATGACGCGTTTTATCTAAATAAATTCACGTGAGCTCGGTTTTATTTCTGTCCCTCTTTTCCCTTTTTGTTTTTTACAGGCGCGTTGAGACGTCTCGAAATAATGAGGCTGAATGGATTATTCTATACATTTGGTGATTATTTGTTTTTTGGGACTTTCCATTGTTTTTGCTATTTTTTCGTTTCTGCGGCGAGGAGAATAAAATGTGACATTAAGTCATGCGGTTCGTTAGCTGAAATCAAACAAAGCCACATGCGAGATGTTGATTTAAAATTGTTTTTTCCCCCCGAAGTTGTTCAAAAGTTGCGTTATACCATTTGCTAATTTATGGTTCACACAAAAGCTTGCAGCAAATAGCAGGTGACAAGTCTGTCTGAATTTGATTTCAACCGATTTGAGGTTTAGGGACCAACGGAGATAATAACACATTTAAATAGTACAAGGATCTACGATGTTGGAGTACACTGATCTTATTCATAACAATTACTCAGTCATTAATCAATTTGCAACATGTTGACTTTATTCACGCTCTGATTAGAGCACTAAATATAGACTTAAATGGGAAGAAATGGGGAAGGCAGCAGAGCAGTCGATATCAGGAAGGTTGGCGACAGAAAAAGTCTATTTGCAATCACAACTGCATAATTGGCCAGCCACGCTCAATGTTTTCAATTTTCACCTCTAATTAGCGCCGTTTCAACAAAAGTCTGCTATTGATATGAGTAATTTGCTGTGAAAAAATTGTTTTAGACAATATTTATGCTTGGACAGTCACCCCAGGAGCGAATAAAATATAATATAAATATTAATCTGGACCGATGCCTGAAAACCCGAGTGACTCCGTATTTGTATTTTTTTGGGGCTCGTGGCTCTAATTGACGCGTGTCTGGTCTCATACAGACCCGAGTTGACAAACTTTTCGACACATCATCTTCATCATCGGCGTATCATAGTCACGTGCTATCATGCGAACAAAGCGTCTTAATTAGCATTCGTGTGTCATCTGTTTCGGCTTTAAGCCCTACCAGCTAATATATCTGCCTATATACCCGTGTGTGTGCGCCAATGAACTAGCGTATATGTAAATACGGCCATCTACAGGTCATCTATAGGTTGAATTGCTCTGGGGAATCCTCAGCTTGGCAATTGATTAATTAATTAAGATATGCATTGTATTTTATTACCCTAATTTGATATATTACCCTCATTATCTTTATATTACATGTTATATGGGCACAAATGTACATATTCTATATATGTACAAGTTTAGGTTTTTCCTTCAAATAAGCTATCCTTTTTTTAATCACATAGCTAATATTACATTTACTTAAACTTTCTTTCAGTTTCACTATTTAAAATGGATTCATATGTATTCAGTTCTAAAATTATAAATTATTTCGGGCACATCGTTTTTGTTTGTATACCCTTGCAGAGGGTATTATAATTTCAGTCACAAATTGCAACGCAGTGAAGGACAAATATCCGACCCTGTGAAGTATATAATATCTTAATCATCATCACTAAGCGAGTCGATCTATCTCTATATTTTCGCCCGTCTGTCTGTTTCTAGGCAATCTAGTCCGTATGGTTTAAAGTTATTTCAGAAATATGGTGTTACAAAAATTAGACGATGGGTCCTATCGGGAAAGAAAATAAAATTATTACTTCGTTCTTTCTTAACATATATACATATATATGAATATACTCCGAAATTTAGTCATTTCTAACGATTAATTATTGTAATTACGGTTACAATTTCGTAAAAATCGGTCGATTATATTAATTTTATATAGCTGACTAGGAATCTTGCTTCATTGTTTTTAAGCATCGAAATCAAAATAAAACAAGAAAGGAAAGCAAACTTCGGGCGGAGCCGAAGTTGATATACCCTTGCAGAATATTCTGTAAATTATATTCTCCAAAATTATTTATATGATGCATTCTTAATACTCATAAAAAACCCCAACTTCCTAACTTTAAAAACACCAAAGTTATGTCATTTCCAATCGTTCAGTTATATGGCAGCTATAGGATATAGTCGGTCGATCCTTATGAAATTTGGCAGGCCGGATTGATTGGCCAAAAATAAAACCCATAGATAATCCCAACTTCCTAACTTTACAAACACCAAAGTTATGGCATTTCCGATCAATCAGTTATATGGCAGCTATAGGATATAGTCGTCCGATCCTTATGAAATTTGGTAAGTCAGACTGATTGCCAAAAATAAAACCCATAGAACTTCCTAACTTGCTAACTTGAAAAACACCAAAGTTATGGCATTTCCGATCGTTCAGTTATATGGCAGCTATATGATATAGTGGCCCGATCCGGCTCGTTCCGACTTATATACTACCTGCAATAGAAAGACAACTTTTGGGAAATTTTCAAGCAGATAGCTTTAAAACTGAGAGACTAGTTTGCGTAGAAACGGACGGACGGACAGACGGACATGGCTTGATCGACTCTCCTGGTGATGCTGATCAAGAATATATATACTTTATAGGGTCGGAAATGTCTCCTTCACTGCGTTGCAAACTTTTGACTGAAATTATAATACCCTCTGCAAGGGTATAAAAATATTTAATTATGGTAACAGCTGCAAGGGTATATAAACTTCAGTTTGCCGAAGTTTGCTTCCCTTTTTTTTATGAATTTATTTATTTATAGAGACATTTTGTGTAGGGTAGATAAAGAACCATAATATATTATAAGTATAATAAAATAAAGTGAATGCTAAATAGAAATAATTTGTACAATGGGAAACAAAATGTTGTTATAGAACGGTATTTTAAAATAGTTAGCTTAAGAAAATAATATTTAAAACAAAAAAATTTTATAAATTTTAACTATGATTTAACGCTTATTTAACAAAGAAATGAAAAGCTTTTTCAGTTATACTAAAATACTTTTTGTGAATAGCAGTCGAGATAATACAGTTTTTTCTCAATCAATTATTACTAAGTTCTTATTTATATATTACATCACACAAACTGTCATCTATAATTCTATATAATGTTATTAATTTTTTACGGTATACTTTAAAAATACCTGAAAACACGATTTTTTGAGTTTAAGTTCGACATTCTACTAAGCCCTTGTTAATCAGTTTTGCTTTCAGTTTTGTTTTCGTCAGATTTGCCGCTTTTTGACCTTGTCGGAGGTTGCCCCTTTCCCTTAACCGAAACCCTCCTGCACCCACACCAAAAAGCATTTTGCATTGCCAACGAATGAACAACGTCGAGGAATGATTCTACGTGACATGTTTGCCTGATCGGATTGGCCAAAGCATAAGCAAATTCGATGTAGTTAGTTAGTTGGCTCAGTTGGCTGGAGCGGTCAGTTGGAGGGCCGGCGAGCTGGTCAGCAGTGCCAAGCCGTTTTTGCCGAAAAGGTTTTCCTCGAACGACCCGAGCCCAATTGCACAATAGTCACAGCCAAATGGGGGCCAAAAGCATTTACATTTTACACCGATTTTGAAATTACGTAGGTGCTCGATGGGCGAGCTTGGTTGAAGAAGGTTGGAGGTGGCTTACTTTCAGCTACCGGTTACGCGATTCACTTTCAAACCTGCCCAGACAACAAACGTATTTCTGTTCTTCATTTCGGCTTTGTAATTGGCCCTGTGTTGTTCTATTGCTTTTGTATTAATCTAATCGATTGCTAGGAATGAGCATTGTCTACAAAACTGCTCAACAATAGATTATCAGAACAGATAATAAGTTTCGCATTCTTACACAATTAATCCCCTAAGCACTTCAGTGAAGGAAGCGTGTAAATTTTGAGAACAATTCACTTGAATTACGAGGAATTTAAATGGAGGGAAAATGTAGTATGTTATTTCCACGGCTTGTTATCACGCAGAGTCACATGTGGCCGATAGGCAGATATGATGATATTGGACACTTGGCTAATCTCCTTGGCCTTTTCCCGGTTACGATAAGCCAGCTATAGGGCACTGTTAATTACCTACGGCTATGACGATTTATAAATTAATCAATGTGGGTAAATATAATTAATGCATTTAACAATTAATGTTATTATAACACAGATAAGGGAAACACAGGGACAGGGAGCTCAATTAGCTATTTTTCTATTTTAAATATATACATATACCCGAAAATAGAAAGAAATCCTCCGCAGTAAGAAATATGTAAATTAAAGAAATGTAAAATCTAATTTAGTCGTATTCGCTTTTTAAATCGAGTACCGGAATTTTCAAATTAATATATCTTTTTAACAAGAAATTTTTTATTATTATTATAGGAATATTTGTAAAAACACTGATATCCATTACTTTCCTGATGGAAGCAATCATCGTAGTTCAAAGCACTCTTAATTGGGTATCAATAAAAGAGAGTTTATTACCACGAATTGGTATAACTGTAAAACTTCAGAATGACGTCAAGTAGAGTCGTTCTTCAACTCTCAGTTTGCCGTTCAATTGATCAATTAAACTGTTTTTTGTAAAGACAGGCACTATATACGATCTCACTCCTAAAGAAAGTTAAAGAGAATTCTTTAAATAACGCACGATAGAAGTTATCAAGTGCTAGATGGCATCAGTGGAATCTTTTATTGCGGCTGGATTTCGTTGGAGCCATTCGGGGCCAAGCTTTCATAAAGTTATCTTAGGTTGTATATTTGCATTAATTTATAGCAAATATAAAAGTATTTTCAATGATTGATGGATGCATGTAGAAAATCCGTATAATATAATATGTTCGCGGCTTATCTGACAAACGCGGCCGATAGGAAAGGGCGCTATACACAAAAAGATTTAGCCATAAAGATCGAATCGAGTAAGAAGGAAAATAAAAATCAACCAAACTCTTGAGTGAGCCGATCATAAAAATCGAATGGCTATCGTTCGGTGGGTCGATAAGGGAAGGTGATGGGGTGGAGACCCCTTATCGTTCCGCCGGATGAGTTAATTGGCTTGTATTGCCCTACTACCCCAACTACCGTGCGGCGAAGTGTGAATTGTGATTGATTCCGAATGCTAAATAAGCGGACGGGATTGGGTCCCCTTTAAATTGGTTTCACGATTGCGATCGGATCGCGAATATGTGTGATTACTCCACTTACGAGTGTTTCATTAACAGACCCACTCCACTCGAATATCAATCAGCCATGAATGTTATTTCTATATGATCGTTTTCGGTTTCGATTTCGGTTTCGTTTTCGTTTCCCCTGCCTTGTTTTGGGATTTCGGCTCAGGTTGTTTTCTGTCGGTTTATCTCCCTCAATTGCGGGAATTGTTTATTAAAACATTATCAATATCTGTAATCCGCATTCGGATCCACTTCACTCTGTACTACACTCGTTTTGTCTGGCTTGGGCTATTGTCATTAGTCGCGTTGACAACTGCTAATTGTGGTAAGTGTTTATTGGCCCAATTTTCGAGGCATTAGATAAGATTTGCTCTAGGTTTCTCTTTTAATTATGCATGTATTTCCGTTACATTTAGTAAGACCTGTTTATCACAGGGCTCTGTGAGAGACCTCCTCTGGTTATCTTAGCCGCACAAATTGTGAACTTAAATGATGAGTATTTTGGAGATGTCTTGAACGGTTCTTACTTAAACAAAGTACTTAATGGTACCATAAAAGTGATTTATTGGAGCGCGGCTCGTTTGGTGTGGAAGTTTATGAAAATGCACAGAAAATAGTACTTATATAGCGATCCGATATTTTCATTTTTCAATTAAATTAGAATGATTTTAAGAAAACCTAAGAACCTATCGGAAATAGATTTGAATAATTTGGCTTTTTAAGTTTAAAACAAGAGAGAACGCTATAGTCGGGTGCCCCGACTATCAGATACCCGTTACTCAGGTAAAGGGAGTGCGAGGGAGATGGAGATAGAAACTTTGATCACGCATAACTTTTTAACGAATGGTCCGATTTGAAAAATGTCTTCTACATTTCGATAGGTATTGATAAACACAATAAAACTGCATTTTTACTTTTCCGAAATATTTAAAGTTTTAAAATCGTATATAAGCGATTGTGGGCGTTAAAGGGGGCGTGGCACCTTTTTGAAACAAACTTGCGCTGCGTAGGAACTCCTAGAATCTGCATGCAAAATGCCAATCTTCTAGCTTTTATAGTTTCCGAGATCTCAGCGTTCATACGGACAGACAGACAGACAGACGGACAGACAGACGGACAGACGGACAGACGGACAGACGGACAGACGGACATGGCTATATCGACTCGGCTAGTGACCCTGATCAAGAATATATATACTTTATAGGGTCGGAAACGCTTCCTTCTAGCTGTTACATACTTTTGCACGAATACAATATACCCTTTTACTCTACGAGTAACGGGTATAATTACATTGATATTTTTCACAGTAATTATCTTTATCTGGTATCTTATAGATGAAAATGTACAGAAAATATTATTTATATATTTCATTTGTAAATATACAAGATTAGAATGATTTTAAGAAAACAAAGAACCTATCGAAAATAGATTTGAGTAATTTGCCTTTTTAAATTTGAAAAGCAAATTATTCAACTCCATTGTACATTAATATTTTTTCACAGTAATTATCATTTTTAGAATTTTCTTATATATGTATGTCAATGCCATTTTTATTTCCTTTAGTTTCATTATAATTCCGACATTCATTCATTTATATATTCTGGACTGCAAAAACTTTCTGTTTATGCAATAAAATATGAATAACAAAGTGCGTATGTACTACACGTGAGTACTTCATTGTTCTTCAATTGCTGCCATCCTCATACAAATTATTGCGTTCTGGAACTCGTTCACCGCTTACATTAATGGCTTAACCCGCTTGACACGTTCGATTAATAACATTTTAAATTATGATACAATTGGTAGCACTGCAAATTGATTTTCCTTATGCAATAAAATATTATTAAGCCTTCATTTCGAGTTCATTAAGAAATCATTCACATTTCGTTAATTTCGTCCAATATGCAAATGAGCAGCAAAACGTAAATAAGGCAAAACATCTGAGAACCAAATTAATAACAGCTCAAAGTCGAAAGCGGGCGTTTTAATCATAAGCGAGTGTAATTTGCATTGCAGTTGTGGTGGCTGTTTTTGCATTCGATACCAAAAAACACGTACTAACAGAAATGTGAAATATCTAGAGTATTTTTTTTATTCCCAGGCACTGAACTTAAATGTGGGAGTAAGGCAAATGTGCGGTGGGGAAACCTACTTTGTATTCACACAGCGGTCGGGAAATTAGACAACTTTCGTTGATGTCTCAAATCTCTTTGCACTTATCGTTCTTCTCGGTTGGTTCAATTAATTAAGACTCAGAAGTCGTTCTTCGGAAACTTTTAATTTCATATTCGCACAACGCGATCCATGGAAACAAAAACTGAGGCGAAGACGATCCGCGACCTGCTTAAAAAGACGACTAAATCGCTGCAAATTCCTGCAATCGTTTTATAGGCACACACACGTCTGCAAACACAATCAAAAGAATTGAAATGAATTGAATCCGCTCTCTCACTCACTCATTCATTCGTTCTCTCACCGATTCATGAGCAGCGCCACGAAGTAATATCAATGTAAGTCTCTTCCTTATCTTCTTGTACGATCCACCCACCTGAAATATACGATCCACCCACCTGAAAATGAAGGTGGGCTAAAGCCAGCTCTCTGGATAGGGCGTAAATCAAGCCGATCGGTAGCCAATTGCTCTGGCTTCTGCATTCCTATATCTCTGACTGGCGGCCATCCAGGTAAACGACCAATAAAATGGTCACCCAAATTATTTCCCAAGCCACTTGACAAGTGACTTTGGCTATAAATTCAACCTATCACAGTGCTGGGTTCTTTCAGAATTTACTATGGCAAATGCAATGTCATAACTGTACTTGGCGGTGAGAAAATACAATACTTAAAAAGCCCAATATATGACACGAAAATGTATGCAATAAAAAATGATTGATGACTCGAGATAGGGGTTGGTTTTTCTTTAATTAGCCATCTTGAAGCGTTCAATCAATCGAAAATCGAAAGCGTTTGATGGTTTTATGGCCAAGCTAATCAAATCACTTTGATATGGTCGCGACTTTATGTTTGCCTATCAGTTGATCAACTTTTTGGGGGATTTGGTAATTGAGACACGCTGATCCCGCGCAAAAGCAGGTCTCTTGGCTAATTGACTTAATTTTATAGTATTCGGCATGCATATCAATAATTCTAATGCTCCCTAAGTACCTAACTACTCATCCAAATATTTATTTAGATTAATCAATTGGAATAAACAAACTCAAATAAAATTGTCTATTTGTTTATTAAAAATATGCATAAGCCCTGAATTGATGATTTTTGTTTATTTACCTTGCCTAATTCTTACTGACAAATCATGATACATCCAAAAGTGATAAAAGTACTTGCCGAGCTTTTTTCCTAGACAGCGGATAGTATTCCTTTTGATATCTCCGCCATAAACTTTGTTTATGTCCATAAAGTCTTCAAAGATTTCCATTGCAATTCACTTGGACAAACAAATTGTGATTAGCGCTATATAAGTACATGATACGAGTTTTTATAGAAAAACAGTGTTATACGATATGGAAGCGAACAAAAAGTGCTTGCAATTGATTTGCTTAAATTGTTTTTGTCATTTTTCCCATCAGAGTATAAAGTTAATCTGACTTTACCCGCATAAAGCAATGCTGGCATGGCACTAAAAATGATATTACTCTTGGCATTTAATATTTATTGAATATCTGTTTATCTAATTTCCGGCAATATATTTACCTATTTTCTGTCTATCTGCATATTGTTTTTTCTCCCATACCCTGTTGAAGTTAACACAGTAAATGGCCAAAATCAATTGAATATAAACAGTCCGCAAAATTACAGAAATGTTTAAAATTTCGCTTGAAAGTTCTCTAATTATTCGAGTGGCAAACGGCAACCGTAAAATGCGTCAGAGCACCGAGGAGGTGGCTAAAAATGTAGCTGGGTCAGAGATTTGTTTGGGGTCTCCATAAATTAACTTTGGCAAAATTACAAACATTTTCCCCATTAAAACCCAAATCACGGTGCCACACACCCACGGCGGAGACACATACAAATCCGGGTTGGCTGGACGGGAATGGAGCAATTTCAATTAAAGCTAATTACAACCAATATCGACTGCCAACAATGTCAAGCATCAAATGCGACGAAGCCTCCCAGGACCCTGTCTGCTAAGTTGGTTGGTTGGTTGGTTGTTGGTTGGTTGGATGGAAGCCCGGCTAGTATCATGTCTGGGTCGTGCACTGAGAAAAACTGCGGTGATCCGCTCACAAGGTGTCACTCAATGTCGTGGCTAGTTCTGCCTGTGGGGGCAGTAAGTCCTGCGCAGGAAGGGATGCATAAGTAAGTGTTGTTGTCGTTGTCGCCGCCAGCCACTGAGATGTTGACATTTGGATGGACCTCAGTCTTAGGAAATATTTCAAGGCGTACTGGCATCGCCTATACTTTTAGACCTATTGTTATGGAGTCTTCAGATTAAACGATGAAAGAAAAAGATCAAGTGAATATTCTCTAAAAAAAAAATATATATATATATACATATGTTGCTACTATGACTATGGACAACAGTTGCCCAAATTTTAATTTAGATGCTATTAAGAGAGGGAATTATTAAAAAATGTAAACTATTAAAACCTTCTTAAAATTGGAAAATCCTGGGATTACACTTCAAAATTAATTTAAGATCATAATAAGTTTCCTTTTAAATAAATGATTATTGTATGGAGAAAGAATTTATCATAAACAACTTTACCACTTTAACGTGCCGAATTAAATTTTTTATTTTGTTTTTTACCGAGACAAGCATTTGCAAAATGGTACAATTTATATTTACAGATCCGAGGCTTTGTGGTTTTAAGAAAAATAAACTTGAGTTTTCTAAAATTGTCTTAAGAGGTTCACTCTACTTGATGTATGTGGGCGGATGGTGCTTGAGGGTCCACAAGCTAGTGTCTGAATTTGAGTCACAACCCGTTGCAAATGCTGCCGTTGTTGTCGTGGAATAATTAAAGCAAATTTGCACTTCAGACAGTCGCCGGTGGAAAAACAAGGAAACATCTCAGCCTTCAGCGCTGGCGACCCACAACAAGAGCGGAGCTGAATCACCAAACCCAGGTACACTCGAGGAATCCTCGTCTTTAAGGAACAACAAAAGCATATAAGAAGGTAGTATTATGATCCGAATAAAGAATACCCAGCCTGATCTTCTGAAAAAAACAATTACATTCTTTAGGGCGCAACAAAAATATATATTTATTGAGCCCAAAGTATTGAGTCTATCAAATATTCTGTTCTAGGTCTTAAAGTTACAAAAATCCTTTTGGGGGTAGATGAATTAAATCCTGAAAAAACACACCTTTAAGGGTAGCAACGTTTTCCTTTTCCTTGTTGCATACATCTCAACGAATCTGATATACCCTTTTACCATATAAATACCGGCTATGACAACAACACCGTCAGCTGCCACGGCCAACATCAACAAAAAGGGGTGCTCCAAAGTGCTTAGAGGACTCGTACCTCCTACGACGACAATGGCAACAACAGCAATGCAGAACAAAACGCCAGTCAGCCGAGAAAGTACGGAAAAAAATGTATGTATGTGTGTGCATGTATGTAAGGAGAGAAACGAATACTAGTATATAAGTATTTTAGCTCTGGTATAAAATGGAACAGAGCCAGCCAAAAAAATAATACAAGTAACACGGGCAGTTTTAACAGGAGCGTTCCGAGTGTATCGCTATAGTGCTATAGTTATTGGTAAATAAGTTCTTTATTCTGATATAAAATTGAAATGATAAATACAAATTTTAATATTGAAAAGGGAAGTGTTAGTACGTATACTTAACTGCGTATACTTAATTTTTCTATGAACAAGTCAGAAACTGAAAAGGATACTCGGACGAAAGTACTTTAAAGAAGTAACATAAAATAAAAAGTAAAACGTTCCTAAAAAAGAAATATAATTTTCAATGCTCTGTTTTGAACACAAATTGTTTTAATATAAACTAGTTTTCTGGCTTAAATATATTTTCTTAACAGCTATTGAACATATAAACAACGCTACTAAACATAATATCATTTCATATGGCGATTGAGGCAGCACCTGATTTGTTGAGCCCCTAAGTAGAACCAGTATTTTTCATCCGCTCCTGGGTCAACGAAAGCGCGACCGAAAGGAGGAAACCGAACGGCGGCCGCGATGACGAACTCGTGCGGATGCTGACGATGCCGATGCTGCTGCCGAGGCTCTTCCTGTGGCTTTTCTCACTTGCTGAGCGCAACAAGGACCCAAAAATGCCAGCACGGCAACAACAATGGGCAACAATAATAAAAACAACGAAAGGCAACAATAAACTGGGCTTGCGCCAAAAACGAAATACGAAAATTTGTGGGTAAAACGAACGAGAGCCATTTTCTCACAACGACAGGAACAACAGCAACAACAAAGGAGTAACGAGATGGGAAAACAAAATCACACACACAAGTTCGAAGAGCGGCTCTCACAGCTCAAAGTCAAAGTTTCGGTGTGTGCGGGTGTGTTGGTGGGAGAGATTCACCCAAAAAAGTTTCCAACTTAATATTGAACTGTGAAGCAACATCAGACAAATTGGAGAGCGCCAGTTGTTGCTGCTTCTGATGCTGAAGCTGCTCTTCTCTCTCCTCCTGCTCTACACAGAAAGAAACACTGAAATGGTGTCGGGATCATTTTGATGATTATTAAATTTTTTTATAAATTAATTTATTGATGCTTAACAAACATTTAAAAAAAGTTTAAGAAATCAAAATGATCAAATGTACAGCGAAAAAAATAAACAATTTTTTTTTCATGGGTCCGGTATTCTGATCTGAGCTCTGGCCATGTAAAAAAATGTATAAATCATATCAACTGTGAGCTGTGAATCAAAAGAAATTCAAAGTTCTTACAGTTATGTATTTGAACTGCACTTTTCAATTGGACATTGCTCTGGTTTCTTTCCGTGTAGTTTGCTTTGTTGTTGTGGGAGCGAAAATATTTTAACGCAATTAGAGTCGGAGCATCGTCGTTGTCGTTGTGTCAGCATCAGAGCAAGAGCGAACGCGCACGCAGACGGACACGGACACGGATAAAACGGCCGAAAGACAAGAAAATCCAGGCAGCACAAGAATAGAAAGCCCAAGTGTGATGTGTAAAAAAAGAGTGCCTCGAAGTTAGTGTAAAAAAGTGTGACCAGCAATGATAAAAACCTGAGCAGACTCAATTAACTGTGAAAGCCTGCTGCACACACACGCACACCCTTGCACAGTGAGAGTGTAAGAAAAAGAGAGCAAGAGAGAGGTGAAGGTGAAGCTGAAGGAGAAGCGCGAACAATTTGTTGAATACAACGGAACCGC